CTTCTAATATTCATCTAGGTTGTACCAAATCGTTAATTTATTTGAAGGGTTTGGTAAATACTAATAAATATTTCTTTGAAGCATATTTCTACAAATTCCATTCAACTTAACGTATGGTTGGTTTAGTCATAGTTAACAAATCTTAGTTGAGGCAACCACGATATTCATGCTTGTGAGCCACCCCTAAATAATGCTCAGCGCTCTCTCAGCGCATGTGTGTTTCACATACGAAGAGCGCAGCTAAGCAATGCACACAGTCCCAGTTATTGAATCGTTTGAATTAGAGCTGGAAAACTATCGATAGTCGTGGCCATCGATAGTTTCGATAGTCGATACTCACAACCATCGATAGTATCGATACTATCGAAAATGTTGATACTATCGATAGTACTATCGATAGCTTTGATTAAAAAGGTCCAAAAATTAAACATAAACAATGTGAGTTGGTTTGTCATTTAATTTAGATTGTTGTTATATATGTATACATACATATTTGTTTTTCGATTAAAACTTAATGTGTGTGTTTTTTTTTGTATTTTTGAATATTTGTTGTAGCAGATAAAATAAACCCTACGAAACGTCGTTTAAAAAGTGGAATAAAGTGGTTTTATTCGCACGCAAACTCAAAAGATCAGACTAGCCTACGAACTAGAACATATCAACTTTTATTGAGAATGAGATCGAAATTGCCAAAATATGTCTATATTTCTGCATATATGTAATACTTCTATATTGGCAGTAAGCTAACTTCTCAATGCGAGACAGTCTAGTACGGTTTTTGTCAATGTATTGTGTACTTGAGTGCCGTTTTTGTATATGTGTTGTGTACATGTTTATTTATAAACGTATGTGTTCCTTTTCTTTCGCACGTGTTTATTTATATATCTGTACTGTAGTGTTTTCGGACGGTACTAGCTCTTACTTCCAATATAGGAGTATTACATATATGTATTTCTGTTAAGGAACAAAAGTTTATCAACGATTTTTAGCTTCAATTTAATTGAATTCATTTTCCATGCTTTGATAAATGTCCTTTCCGATATCAAAAGATAAACTAGGTACCGCCGGATTTTACAGAATAATGTATGTATGAGTGAAAACTATCGATAGTGCTTACAAAACCATCGATGTTTTCGATAGTCAAAAACCATCGATATATCGATAGTGCCATCGATAGTTTTCCAGCTCTAGTTTGAATGCGATACTATGCCGACCATTGCATAAAAACGATTCAATGAATGAGACTGTGTGCGTGGAAATCATTGCTCCGCTACCGCTGTTCGTATATGGGTGAAACACGCGTGTGGTCACAGAGCGCTTAGTAAGCTATGGCATGTCGATCACTGCGCTAGATAGAGAAAGAAAAGTGTGTGCTATGACATGCCCAGACTTGTTTGTGTCAGTTTCTGTTTTGTTATCGCCGCAATTTATTTCCTTTTTTTCCAGTAATAAACGGTTAGCTGATTCACGTCTACAGAAAGTCCACAAAATTAATTGAAAACTTGTATCAACCAAAGCATTGTTTATATTTGCTCAACAATGATTTTATTCAACTAACAATATTGTCCACTCAAGGTAGTCGTTTTGTAATTATTAACAAATATACATTTGTCCCTACTAGAAGTCTCAAGTAAATTGCAGACTTTCGTGAACTAGATATTTATTTCACCATATCTAACTATGCCACTTGGTCACTATAACCAAATCTTGGTAATTATAACTAAACCTTTTTCTGAGTGTACAATTTTTATGGTTAAATTACTGACAGGCTCAATTTCAAAGTCCGCTTCTTCTGGGTGAAGTTAGCCTTAATGTTCCCTCCCGTGTATCAAGACACTTGTATCCCCTATTTTTGGAAACTTGTATAACTAATTTTGTTAGTTACGCGAGCCACTCCCTTGCTTATGCCAGGATTTTAACTCTCAATCCAGCACATTTGATATAACTGATTCGCTTTTCAGCATTAAGAAAACAATACTATCCTCTCTCAGTAAATGAATTATTAACATAAAGACATACAATCAGCTGATGAATTTAGTTCTGTAGCTGAACAATTTTAGATGTCGACACTTAACAAACTCCTACCTATCGTGACTCGGCGCAAAAATTGAAAATATTAGGGCTATTCGCGATTTGGTGCATAAGAGCTGACAAATTTATGCAATTGCAGAAATATGCCATGGATTGTGAGCGACCTTTATTAAACTGTAGTGGTAAAGCTTTTGCAAAACAATTTTTGTGCATCAGCTTTGGTTTTGTTTATGAATGCAATGCATAGCATTTTTATGCTATCGATTTTCGGTATTGCAAATTTGCCAAGCCATGACAAATGCAAATGCGTGTATTTTGTTTGTGTATTGCAAATAATTTGCAATACAAATTTGCAATGCAATGATGCTAGGCCATTTGCACCGGATCGCGAATAGCCCTATTGGTTCCGTACGGCATGCAGACTGCGCCCGTCGTGCGGATGGGCGGGAATGGAGGGTAAAAACCGTTGGGATTATTATTAAAAAGGGTGGGCTTGGGAATACAAGTTACTATTTGTTCCTTTTAGTAGCGAAATGGAGTATTTTTCATACTATTTATCCTTTTTGTAGCAGATTGGTACATTTGTGCTGCAGATGTGAACAAAGAAGTACATATCGCACACTGTCTGCAAAAGAGAAACCTCTCAAAATTACACGTTCGTCAGAAAATGAGAAAAACTATTTCTTAGCACATGCCAGAGCTGTAAAAATTCGCAATAAATTTTTTTAGCAATCAATGATGGTGCTAGTAATAGGATTACAATCAAAATTGATTGCATTTTTCTGATTGTAAAAACTACAATCAATTTAATTGTAAGCCCATTTGATTGCAATGATTGTGATTGCAATCAAATCACTGATTCAATCAACCATTTTAATTGCAATCTCAAAAATGTAATAATTTATTCAAGCTTTTTTTATTAAAGAAATTGAGAGCGTAAAAGCAAAACAGAACGTGAAATTGCGAAAAAGAGAAAACTAGCAGAAAAATTTATTGAACGCAAAACTAGTAAAAACTAGTTGTTTCACCGTTTTGACATTCTGTTCAGGTTTAAACTCTTTGCTTTACACGCAAGCACTTACACAGTCCGGTACATCATTAATATTTTGATTTCCACTCATTTTACTTTTGTTTATGCTTAACCATTTCAACAAATGGCGGCTTTTGACATTTAATCTTCTTCTTCCGGTAGCTAATTTCTACTAGTAAAAATTTCACTAGCAAGAATTTGCACCTCTCCCGTGTTATTACGCTCTCGATTCAGTGCTCCATTGGAAATTTTTTGGGTTATTATACACTTTTCCAGTAAAAATTTGCAGGTTCCAGTACTGACTATTTGTTACTATACACACCTAATATAAACAACGAGTTGTGAGCACTTCAAAATGCATGCATGTTGTTTTAGTAATTTACACTGAGAAAAGAGTTCAGATACGTAAGTATGTTTCTCTGAAAATATGATTTAGTTATCGTTACATGATTAAGTTATAGTTACCAAATCTTGTGCTGAAAGAAAAATATTTAATCTTATAAGTTTAAGTTTGACAACAGTAGCCAGAAAGTTGTTGCTGCTTGAAGAAAAACATTTTATTCAAAAAGCAGCAAAAAATATTGAAGACTGTTGTAAAATTTTAGCTTATAAGACAAATAGGATAACTTCTGAATTACATAATACCGTACAATATTTACAATTCACAAGACCAAATATAAAATGTGCGAACCAAAACTTATTGTGCGAATATATGACCGCCTAACTAATGCTGAACCGAATTCTGAGATAGGGCGTTCTTAAATCAAATTCTGAAGTAGAGCGTTATTGAAAAATTTTCTGAGATAGGGCGTTTTCGAAGTGGCTGCCGAGATAGGTCGATCTTCCACTCAGCCATCGATACGTTATACTACTAGGGATGGTTGAAAAACACGATGGAGGTGCTGTTTAGTTGCAGCTTTGTCATGCAGAAAATCGAATTTGTATGCACGCACATTGTATATGCTCTCGATTAGCGGAACATTAAATACGACAATCAAAACAACCTACTGCGAGGTGTAATGCCATTAACCCACTGAGGGCTTGTGTGCCTCACCATCGTACTTCCAATTATTCATCAAAATAAATGTTATTTAGACAGATTGCAGTTAGCAATTTTTATGCAATTAATGATTGCAATCAAAAATTAATTGCAATGAAAAACTTATTGCAATCAATTTCTTCTAAATCATTGCAAATTTCAATTTTTGCAATCAAAATATAAGCAATCAATGTTAATTGCAATTAAACTAGATTGCAATATTACGTAAAATATGCGATTGCAATCCAATTTGATTGCAATTTTTACAGCCCTGGCGCATGCTAATCATGTGGGCATGAAAAACTTTACCTTAGGTTTTTTCAACAAGTTATAACACAAAATTGCTCCAGTTTTTGCTGAAAGGTAAATAAAAGCTCTGTGTACATTTTAAGGGTATAATTTCGAAAATTCCTCATTTTGAGTTGTGTCCGTTTTGAAGATCGTGTGCGATATGTAGAATAAACCTGATGATAGCAACCTCAGTATATCCAGTAAAAAAAAATGGTGAAGTCCTTTATGGGGATAAAGTTTCCAGAGGTGAAATTTTAGGTAGCACACAATTTCTTACACGCATGGTTGCTTTTCAGCATCAATGAAAGAAATTTAAGAAACATTAAAAAAAATATGCATATAGTGCATTAATTTTTGAAAGAAATACCATATAATGTATGTACTCTGATTAATAATATTAAAAAGTGTATTATAACCACCGTTTAATGTTATATTTGATACAAAATTAGGTTTACTTAAAATTACATCCCTGGTCCTTGTTCTTTCTGTATTGCATCGTGGTGAATTCACATTTCTCACAAATTTGACAACAAAACAAAATTAAGGGAGTATTTTATTTGCTAATTTTTGCGATTTCTACTGCTTAATGTAAATTTTATATATTTTTAGGATATGTTGAGGCAACAAAGAAGGTGCAGTTTGAAAATGAAGTTATTAGTATGAAGTAGCAGCGCAGGCACATTTGGAAAATTATGCCGACAAGCAAGATGGAATTTGGGAAAGTAAGTGCCTGGTTGCAGCATATCTATGTGTTAAAAAAGTATTTAATTTAATGAAATTGTGCTTAATAGAAATGTAATAAATCGAGTGGCGTTATTTAAGATGTGCTCCAAACATTTGGCGAAATTTTTTCGCCTTCTCAACGTGCTAAGTTACAAGTTATGCTGACTGCCACCACGGTCTGTAAGAAGCCTGAAGCAAAGGGCAAACAACCTTCCAGGAAGCTGCCTGCTGTCCCCGAGTCGTAGCTGAATTTCAGCAAGAAGCAGGTCAGCAAACGTGCTACCCTGATCAAGCGTAAACTAAAGCGTTCTGCTGTGATTGCACTCCGCAAACGTGATAACTTGGTGCATGCTGAGAAATATCAAGCAAAATATCGCCGTGATGGACGCCGTGAGATTAAGTTGCTCCATCTGGCAAAAAAACGCGGCCCATTCTACGTGCCTGCAGAAGACAAATTGGCTTTTGTGATCTGTGTCCGCGGTATCAACAAAGTTGCACCAAAAGTGCGTAAAGTTTTACTGTTGTTCCGTTTTCGCCACATTAACCACCGTTTTTTCATCAAATTGAACCCTATATCACATGGGGTTATCCAAATCTTAAATCAGTTCGTGAATTGATCTACAAACGTGGAATTGTCAAGCACAACCGTCAACGTGTCTCAATCTCTGACAACTTTGTGATCGAACGCAAATTGCGCAAAGCCCACGATATTCAGTGCGTTGATTATTTGAAAGCCTCCAACTTCCTCTGGCCATTTAAGCTCAACACCAACCGGCGGCTGGCGCAAGAGGGCTAATCACTACGTTGAGGCTGGTGATTTCGGTAACCGTGAAGATAAGATCAACAAACTGCTGCGCAAGATGGTTAAAGAAATTTTTTGGTGTACAAGGTGGAGTATTTTTATTTCAAAAATATATAATAAATAAAAATAGAAAATGTTTTTTTTTTTTTTGTAACTTTCTGAAGGGTTAAATCGCAAATATGCCAATCGGAAGGCAGCTTATATTCGCAATTCCTTGAATAGTGTCGAAATTCCATTGCCGTTTCTAAAGGCCATTTCAAAAGGCTCCAATGCACAAATTTAATTATTTGTTTTGGTTTTTCAGCTCATTAATGAAGCAACTAGGGTTGCATTTACCGTCTATGAAAATATTTTATGAAGCGTTCCAAAATTAGCTCCGAGAAACTAAAAGTTGGTTCAGCTTAAGTGAAATAGTTTTTTGTTAAATATTTATTCCTGGTACTTATTAAAAAAAAAATCATATCAATATTAATGTATGAAATGAAGTAAATAAAAATCAACGAATACATTTCTTGAATATTTTGTCATAGAGCCGTTATTAAATACAGACATAACGGCGTCGGGCGTTGGTCTTGACGTATATAGAAGTAATGCGTTAGAGAGATAAATATACAAGCTAAAATTTTGTTTGTTAATTAACGATGCATTTTACTAATCAGCCTAATCGTGAGTTTCGCCAGAATTTTTTTCAACCACCCGTAGTGAGCACACGGAAACGAAAAGTGAAAAGGTGACTCGGTTCGAGAAAATGAAACTCATGTTAAGGCTGAATATGTCGGGAACTAAAGCAGATATTTAAAAACAGATGACACTATTTGAAAGATCTTGATTAGTTTAGTACGACAGCATTACTAACGTAATTTGTACCAAATTACCGAAAACATTTTAGTCTATTACTCGGAAACTAAAGAAAATATCCAAAAACTGTTAACAAAAAATTGAAATACCTTATGTTAAAATATATAACTGCATCTTTAACTAAAAACTGTCAAAATGACGCTTACGGAAATTTTCCATACAAGAGACGATATTTGAAAGTTACTGGCGTAATTTCGAGCCTGTATGAAAATTTTCGGCAAAAGTTAAGAAGTATATTCATATGCTGAGAAGATATTTTCGCAGATTCACAATTTATTTAAAGTATATGATCAGCCCTGTTTCCAATTCCATGTGAATAAATCGCTCCCATAATTTAATTTGTGCATTCAATAACTTAAATACTAAATTACAAATATTTCGACACAGTAAAATTAAAAATGGGTATGTATTAATAAAATAAATATTCTAAATACATTTATATTTCGGTTAAACCTGAGATGTTCAAGCGCACTGAAATATTTGTCCATCTATTTCTCTAGCACTAAAATAATTTTCACCACATTTAATTGCTGCACAACACCCTTATTGCCGAAAAAGCGTTGCTTGCAACACTAGTCCTTCATGGGGACCAAATTTGGTGAAAAAAATAGCTAAGTTTGTATACTGGATATAGTGAGATAGCAACCCTTGTTCTGTTTCGTTTTGACATGTTTTTATACACATGTGCAATAGTATCAGAGTCTTAGGGCCGTTTGCACCATGTCTAGTTAATTCTAACTCCCAGTTAAACATCTTTATCGACGTTATCGACACCCATCATATAACATGTGATCGATAAAGCAGTTAACGTGCTTAACTGAAGGATGTACCTCCAGTTAGCGTTAACTAGACATGGTGCAAACGGCCCTTAGTGGTTTACCAAAAACGCTACCGCTCGCTTGGATGTACAAAATCGAATGAATCTCTTTATTTTCTAAGATGGCGCTTCACTTGTACAAAACGGTTATTGACATAACGAGTAATAATAAAACTAGTATACAAACAAACGAGTAAAGAGTCTTAAGGTCTAGTTACAGTTTCATCTTAACAACTAACTCTTAAGGTCTAGCTACAGTGTGTAAGTATAAGCACATGCTCTACTACTGTTTCCTACACATGCATATACCCCTCCTTATTTTTTTCATAATTTCACAACACAAATGTAAAATTTATTAAAAAATAAACCAAAAAAAAACAACTGAGCAAAAGAAATACTCTGGTCATTTGCTCCTCTGTTGGTCAAAGGGAGTAAGAATGGAAAAAATTAGAGGAAAAGTGCCGTGACCAGGGATCATATGATCGTCTGCGTAACAGCGCCCTATCAGACCTTAGCGAATGCGAGTAGACAGACGGCAGCGTTGATCCGGATCAAGCTTTTAATTTGCAACTGTCTTGATAATTTACTGCAGTTGATCCGGATTAAGTCCTAGATTTACATTTACAAAATTAATTCGGATCAAGGGAATTTTCGATGACAACACTGACCAAAACTCGGAGAGCGTATGTAAACTAGCATGGACATCTACCTTGTCATCGGAATTGAAGTAACCATACTAGGAATCCAATTTGAATTAAATGATAACTTATTTGAATTACCTAGTATGGTGACCACGGTTGCCGTTTTGTTCCAAATGGTCCAAATTTGGTCCATTTCTTTTCGTTTGGTCCATTGGTCCAATTCTTTTTAAAATGGTCCATTTCACAAGCCTTTGGTTAGGTTATTATCACCCTTTCACTTCATGCAATAGTGTCGCGTCAATTTTTTCTATTTACTTAATGGATGAATATTCCGCCCTATGTTGAATATCGTCATCGTTAGTAAAAGTGACGATACGGCCATCATCAGCCATGTTACTGATGCGCTTGATTACGTTTTTGGGATCAAGTAAGTTTGATTAAAAATGGATTGGGTGAAGCGGCTTTAAGAGAATTGTGTGATTTAGTTCATAACATTTTTAGTCTGCCTCACAGTTCCGCAGCAGCTGAGCGCAAATTTTTTGATTTTGCATTAATAAAAACGAAATTAAGAAACAAATTATAATTTAAAACTTTAAATAATATAATGTTAATAATGTACAATTGTAATGCAATTTGCATCCAATGCAATATAAAAAAAAAAGTAAGTGCGCGTGGGCCACACTAGAGAAGTGAAACTTACGTTACTTATCTATTTTGTCTCATAACCAATGTATACATACACATATCTGCTTTTGCTTAAGGTTATATTTTTTCTCTTTTTTCTATCTAGATCCCTACCTCTACCCCTGTTCGTTTTATATGTTATTTATATGTTTATCGATAACAACGCCCAACAAAATATCGGTAACAAAACCGATAGATAGATAAAAAAATCGATAACAAAATCGATGACAAATTCGATAACAATTTCAACGGCAACATCGATAATACCATTCGTAGCAAAATCGATTAGAAAATCGATAACAAAATCGATAAATATCGATAGCAAAATCGATAAATATCGATAACAAAATCGATAAATATCGATAATAAAACCGATAAATATCGATAAAAATTGATAAATATCGATAGCAAAATCAATAAATGTCGATAAAAAATCGATAAATATCGATAACAAAATCGATAAATTCGACAACAAAATCGATAAGTATCCATAACCAAATCGATAAATATCGATAACAAAATCTATAAATATCAATAAAAAATCGATAAATATCGATAACAAAATCAATAAATGTTGATAACCAAATCGATAACACAGTCGATAAATTTCGATAACGTTATCGATAAATATCGACAACAAAATCGCCAAGTATCGATAACTAAATCGATAACAAAATCGATAAAAAATATCGCTTACAAAATAGTTAAAAATATCGATTACAAAATTGATATCAAAATCGATAAAAATATTGATAAGAAAACCGATAAAAATATGGATTATTTTATCGATAAAGTCTCGAGAATCCCGAAAATTTCTAAAATCCCGAAATAGTTCCCAGATTGAGTCTCCGTGTCTCTCTGTATATCTTTTCCTCTTCAATTACCTTTATTTAAATCTTTCTTCCCCTATCTTCGTCTTTACTTTTATCGGTATCCTCATCCTCATCTTTGTTTTTACTTTTATGTTTATCATTTTCTTCATCTACATATTCCCATTCACCTTTGCCCTTATATATAAGTAAAGTGTTTAAGTTTACCTTGGTCTTCATTTTTGCCGTTATCTTTACGCATCTTTGGTTTCGTTTTTATTTTTACCTTTGCCTTTATCCTTTTCTTTATCTATGTACGTAATCACTTTTACTTTCATGTATTGTTATTTTTCTAAGTTGTACTTTTTAACCTTTATTAGCAATTTTTTGTCAAATTAATACCATACACTCAAGAAGCACTTGTTTCAGCCCCAATAATTTCCGTTGCATCATTTCCGTTGCACCATTTTATTAGCACTTTTTTGTTAAATTAATACCATACACTCAAGAAGCACTTGTTTCAGCCCCAATAATTTCTGTTGCACCATTTCCGTTGCACCATTTCCGTGTGCAATTTCCGTAGAATTTGCCAATTTACTCCCAACCAACCAACCGCCGCTAAAGAAGTTTCACTTCAAAAAGTATCGTTATGAAAACTGAATTGGCATATTTTCTTGATAAAGAGGAACAAACTCCACTCAATTTCCCGATGTAATAAAAATTGGTAAATTTTTTACCATTTGGTCTGAAAAATAAATCGGTTGCCATTGATGGTGACTGCATTACCGACGACAAGGGGGATGTCGATGCTAGTTCTGCATATTCTTTGTATTCTACGCCCCCTGAGAAAATAAAGCAACCAATTTCTTCATCCGCGGTATCCGAGTGGTGTGACCTGCGTTCTACAATTCCGTAGAACCCAGATTCGCTTTGAACGATTGTTAATAAATTTTTGTTTTTATTATTTTATTTGATTTATAACTTTTATTTTGCTTTATTTTATTTTACTTTCTTTTGTTTTATTTAATTCCAATTATTAATTTTATTTTTAATTAATCAAAATTTTCAGAGTTTTATTTAATTAAAAACCTCAATAATAAATAACTCAAAACAACATTAAAAAAATATAGAAGTTATAATTGAATGAAAAAAAAAATTAAATGAATATTCTACTGGCCGTGCGACTCGAACCTACGACCTCGCGACTCGTTACATGGCAGACGCAAAGGCACAATTTTCATCAGATCAACTGCGCCGTTAATCCGGATCAACGTTGCCGTCTGTCTATGCTTTAAGATACACCACTTCTCTTTTTATTTATCTCTTAATTTACTCTAGTCAAATTGCTTGTTAGTATTATTTTTTATGTCAGTATATATTAATTACAATGAAACAAAAATGAAAAAAAAATCTCATAGGATTTTATCCGTTTTATCTATCGCTTAACTAGCTTAATTAAAAAAAAAACTCGAAGTACTATTTATAAATATATTTTTTTCTCTTGCAGAACAACGTGCTGCGCAACAAAATAATAAATAAAATATCTTGAAGCGAAGTAACCAAACAAAGACGATGACTTCAACAACGCAACTACCTACAAAACTCTGTCATATAGTAAAACGTCCAGATTTCGAAGGGTACGGATTTAATTTGCATTCAGAAAAAGTTAAGCCTGGGCAGTTTATAGGAAAAGTAGATGTGAATTCTCCAGCGGAGGCTTCGGGATTAAAAGAGGGAGATCGCATTATTGAAGTAAATGGCGTTAACATTAGCGGGGAATCGCATAAACAAGTGGTGCAGCGGATTAAAGCGCTGTCAAATGAAGTCCGGTTGTTAATAGTCGAAGCAAATGCAAGTAAAAGTGAGACAAGCGCGAGTGAATACCCTGCCAGTGTTGCATCATCAGAGAGCAAAAAGAACAACAACGTAAATAGAGAATTCGAGGGCATATTTCAAGAAATACCTGGAAGCAGCAACAACATTAGCAGTATCAGCATAAGTACAAAGCGCTCATCCAATGGTGGCAAAAATTCAGTCAATGCTAATGTAAATACAAATGGTGCAATTACAAATAATGCCAAGGAAATGTTACCAAGAAAACCAGACGTTTGCAATTCTACTTCAAGCTCCTGCCATGTAATTACTACGAATGCGACTATGCCAGCGGATGCTATGGGAGCGGAAAGAGGCCAAAACGGAGCTGTGAAACCTTCCAGCTATGGATTAGAACTACCTATGACAGCAGCTGAGATGCGGGCAAAACTTTTATCCAGAAAAAAATACAATCCAAAAAATGAAGTTGTGGACCTAAAGAAAAAGTTTGAAATAATTCAGAAACTGTGAAATATACACGAGCAAACACAAAATATACATAATAATTTGCTTTTTTAAGGAAAGAAAAGAATGTTTAAACGATTATGTATATTATAACACACTGAGGCGTACGTATATAATTGTGCATCTATAAATATTGAAGTGTTTGTCTGTGATCTTGAAATAAAGGTTTTCTTAGCACATGTGGTTATCTGCAAACCAGCGTTTTTGAATTGTTTGGCTGTGTGTAAGTTATAAGTCACGGAAAAGTCGTCTTCATGCGTTATTAGTTCCGCTCAGGTAGGTAAATTTTGATTGAAATGGTTGGAGCAACCCATTCGTTTCGGTATTCAAAACGCTCAAGGTATTGGCCCAATGCACGCTTGCTTTGCTTGCTTGGCTTTGAGAACTGTCAAACAATTTTTAAAATCTACTAAAATGTATGAAAGTTGGCCTAGTGGCAGCTTTACTTCACTTGCTTGAAGCGCTTTAAAGTATCGATTAGCCGAAATCTCTATTTAACAGCGCGCTGTAGGCTTTTGACAACTCTTGACATTTCAATTTTTCGCGTCGATTTTGCTTGTGTGCAGTTTTTATCGCGGTCTTCATCAATTTTAGGTAAAATAATTTATATTAAACAATTATTTGTTGCTAACAACATTATTTTTTTCAGA